TGATCTTGCTACTTGGCTTAATGTGGAGGTTTTTTTTCCTACTTTTAATAATATATAGATAGATTTTCCATAATCTCGATTGTGACTTTTATAAATGTAATTATTTGTTCGAAAATGGACATGATATTTAAATACAAGGATTTAGCGCAACATAAAAACTAGCTCAAATAAAAAATATATAAGCCATATAAAATGATTACGCATTTCCTTTACCACCGATGTAGAACTTTTCAACAAAGACCTTTATATGTTGGTATTTGTTCGAAAGAGGACTTTGACCTTGGGGGCAAAGTGAATGTTCTGTGCCAAAATTGGATAGTGCAAAGGGGCAAAGTTAATGTTCTGTGCCAAAATTGGATAGTCCAAAAATAAACACTAGTCAAAGTTACAATAAAGAATAGAAAACATTCTCATTACGATTTACGAGTACCATTTATGCTGTAGCTTAACCAATTGTGAAAAGAGAGGACGCATGTGCTGGATGCTTTGGGTGCACCACTGCATTTTGCAGTTGCTTCCGGTGGCGGAGGCAGAATTTCGACGAAAAGGTTTAAAAAAAAAAGTTAAAAATGATTATCGCCAAAATTGAACCTACGACCTTATAAAAATTTTAAACTCAAAACATAATAAATATGAGTAAAAAACAGATTTTTCTCATATATACCTCTAATTTTTCGGGTTCCGCCCCCTTAATCCGCCCGTGGTTGCTTCCCCCTTTTTTTGGTCGCGAATTGCTCTGTATTTTGGCTAAATAGCAGAAAAGACTCGTTCATTGTTATACACAACCCTAGCATCCAACTGCAAAGTAAAAAGAAACCCAAGAGACGACCCACAAATAAGGCAAATCTTTTCAATCAAAGAAATAGAGAAGAGGAAGCTCGTTCCATAGACAGACACAAAAAGTCAAATCTTCCCAGTCAACGTAAATTAATACGGGAAGCTCAAAGATGACAAAAAAGGCAAATGGCCAACACAAGAAGAAGAAATCAGTATCCCTCAGTCAAATTCGCAAAAGGAAAAGAGTTGTGAAGCCGTCAAAGCAGATGAATTTTGATGATCGGGTGAGTTCTTTCATCCCAATGCATTCTCATTTCAGGCTAAAATATTCCCTTTTTTGGTAAACCTATATTAACATAACATGAAGTTCATCCTTCAACAGGTCCATCAAAACCCTAGACTAAATAATTAGCTACTCATAAACGTGTTCACCGCAGCATCAAAATTCATCATAAATGATCAATACAAAAGGAAGAAAGGTAGAACTCGAATTATCCTCCTTGCCTTATGCCTCTTCTTGCCTTCAACTCAATTGTAAAAACCTTGATAATGTCCCTTTGGGCGAGCTGGACCTCTTATAGGTTAAGTGGAATTACCCCCGAACTTCCAAGTTTACCCCTGTAATTATTTAATCCGAACTGGACTAGCGCGGCCGCGCTCGTGCCCGCGCTAATGGCCGCGCATATAGCATAGTATTCTGTCTCGAGTTCCCGGGCTAGCGCGGTCGCGCTAAGCTGGGTCATCATTTTAGCTCTTCTTTGCTCTCTTCTTTCACAGTACTCAGCTCCGAGGGGCTTCCCTTGCTTCAATTTAGCTTCAAACACTGTCCTAAGTCCTCGTAAGCGCAACTCACTCCTGCAAAACATGAAATTCACAATTAGAGCCAATTAGTCGTCATTTAACCATCCTAGAACAGTGAAGCATAGTCAAGTTGGGGCATAAATAGTTGCCAAACTACAAGAATGTAGCCTATTATCAATGATAAACGCCCCATAATTTTGCTATGGAATCCCTCCACAAGAAAATCAACAGCACTTCCCCATCCAGAATTTCCACTGTACGGAATTTGTGCTTATGGATTTAGGTATGACTCAGCTAGTGATGATTATAAGATTCTTAAGATTGACGTGGAAATAGATAATCGTCACAAAATACCTAGTGAAATTCTCGCACTGAAAAGTGGTTCTTGGAGAAAAATTGAAACATCCTAATGGCATTAGTGATCGGTTGTCCGGTACAAGCTCTTTGGCGTTTGTACATGGACCATTTCATTGGCTCGTTTTTTCACAAAATTATTCCATGGTTTCATATAGTATTTCAAATGAGTTGTACGGAGAGATACCGTTGCATGAGCAAATGCGCTTGAGGTCGATACGCATGAATTTTGAGGTTTCAGTATTGGAAGGAATGCTTTGTGTTTATTGTACTTTCATTCATCAGAGCGAGGGCACTTTTAAGTTATGGGTGATGAAAGACTATGGCATCAAGGAATCTTGGACTGAATTATTTACTATACAAGATACCAGGTTTTATACTGCCACACCGAAACATAGGTTTGAGGGTGGTGAAGTGCTATCTCATTGCACACATTATGCAAGTTCTCAGGACTGTATTTAGGACATCTAAAGGACCATTTAGATTCTTGCCTCAATGTGATAACCTTGAGGAAGGATTCGTTTTCACAGAAAGCTTGATCTCTCCAAAATTACTTAGTATTTGCTTATGTATGATCGAGCCACCTTTTTCTGTTTCCAGAAATCATGTTACACCTTCTTATTCTTATAAGTATCTATTGCTTGCTAGCTTTTTGGTTCCAGAATGAATTTAGCAAAGCTGTCAGCTTGTTTATTTCATGTTCTCAGAGAAGCAATGGGAGCTTTTTCTTTGCTACCCGTTTGGATGGGCTTATTTTAAGTGGCTTAGCCATAAGTTAATAAGAGCCCGTTTGGCTTAGCTGATTTAGAGTAGCTGATAAGTATAGGTGCTGAAAAGCACTTTTAAGTGCTGAAACTGATTTAAAAAATAAGCAGTTACGTGTTTGGATAAAAGTGCTGAAATTAATAATAAGCAGCTAAAAAATTGGGTATACAAAGAGTTTTGTTTTAAAAAAGAAGTATTTTAGGGATAGAATAGTAAATATTTTGGTCAAACCTAAAGTGCTTATAAGCTGAAATTTGATAAGTTGGGGGAGACCAACTTATGGCTTTTGGCTTATACGCACTTAACTTATAAGCACTTTTAATTTTACCAAACGCGTAGATAAGCCAAAAAGTGCTTATAAGCCAGTTTGACCAGCTTATAAGCTTAGCCAAACACCCTCTAATTCTAGCTTTTGCCTTTTGGCTTGTTTTTGTCATTTTTGCTTAAAAACAAGTACTTAAAAGCACTTTTTTACTTTAGCCAAACACTATAAAATGACTTAAAAGCTATTTTGGCTTAAAAACACTTAAAATAAGCCAATCCAAACGAGCTCGAAAGAATTGTTTGAACCCTCTCACCCTTACCCCCTACCCCCCCCCCCCCCAACAGTAAAAAAAAAAAAAACCCCAGCCCCTCTTTTACCTAATAATGCTTGTCTAATCGTATATACTAATTGCAACAGGTAATGCGCTGTTTATTTGTCAGCTGCAGTTCTTCCTAGCTTGATTGATAGTTATAAAATCTGAATTAATTAACCCAAAATTGGTCGATTAGAGCTTTTTACAATTGCAGTATCAGTTGTTACTTGGACTTGAGTGCAGTTTAAGGGCTCGTTTGGTACGAGGTAAGGAATAATTAATGCCGGGATTAAATTTAAGAAAAGTTTATCCCATGTTTGGTTGGGAGAAAATTGCAGTATAATTAATCTCGGGATTATAGTGTTTTTTTTATCCCATGGAAGATTATTTATTTTGGGATTATAGTATTTTTTTATCTCTATAAAAAAGTGGAATAACTAATTCCGGGATACAGTAAAGAAATCACATGGCGCAAGAAGATTTATAGATGAGGTTTCAATTAAGCTATATGCTTACCTTAATTTATAGTAGTACTTTTTTACTTGGAATATTACAAAGGTTCCGTATTGCTCAAAACTTCCGTTAAAAGAAGCGATTGTAGCTCATCAGTCAGAGAAGTTTTATTGTGTGTCTCACCCAACTTACATTAGTTGTGTTAGGCTCCTTTCTGTCTCATAAATTTGTGGATCCTAATCTTACACTTTTAGGTTCATAAAAATCTGTGTCCACAAAACTGTGAGATAAAAAATATGACTCGTACAACTAATGTCAGTTGTATGAGAATTGAGATACAAAATAAAATTTTCCCATCAGTCATCAGTAAGAAAACTGATGATGCTGACTTGGTGATTCAGAACAGTAACTAGATTTTAAGCAATGCGCATCTTTGGATACAACCTAAGCTGATTTTGACTTATTTTCTCGATTTTTTCTTTTTGGAATTAATCAGTTCCCTAATAGTACTAATCTCCAGCTGCTCCCTCAAAGAAGTAATATTTCGTATAACAATTGAACGTTAATTGTTGTTTTTGTAAAAGATCATCAGTTATTATTAACAGGAGTGATTTCACAAAAATAAAAGATTAAATCAAACGAAATAATCCAGAACAATTACACAGTTTGAATTTTCAAGTAGGAGTACAAGTCTCGTCATATATAATGAGTTCATTCTTCTATTCTTATCAACACTTAATCTACACATTAAGCGTTGTGTTTTTACTGCTAGACCAAAAGCCTCGGTATGGCGACACATATATGAGCTGAAAATGAGAAGGATGCAAACGGATATAATATATACTCTCTCCGGTTCAAAATAAGTGATTTTTTGGATGTTTTTACACAGATTAAGAAATCCACCTTTTAGCATTAATTAGCAATGAAATTGACCATATTAACCTTTACTATCTCACATAAACACTACTAAGTCCTAACACATATTCCAACACTATTTACTCCAAGTACAATATAGGAAAAAAATAATTAATTCATTCTTGAAATCTGAAAAAATTACTTATTTTGGACCACAAGAAAAAGGCCAAAAAATCACTTATTTTGGACCGGAAGGAGTAATTCCAAATCAAGCGATTAAAAAGTACACAATTTCCTATTTTATTTTCTGTCATGGAGATCACCCAATCCTTTTTCACCATACTGAGCCAAACTATAAAATTTTAAAAAACTTTTAAAAAGAGAACAATATATAAAAGGAGAAAAAGAAGGCCATTTCTCAAGAATTGAATTATCGTGGACTCTCTTTTCTTTTCTTCCAAACCTTCTTCTCTATAGAAAACGAAGTTTCAATTTCACCAAAAATAGCAAAAAAAGGAAAAAACAGAGAGAAGAAAAAGCTATATATAGATAGCTGTCACTGAGAGAGTCGTGAGCACGCAATAATACCTCCTCAAAAGAAACACAAACCAACTCAAAATCTCTCTTTTCTTTTTGGATATAAAATTAGGCCCATCGACGCATATTTAGCAATAATTGACTGGGAATTTGACTCCCGAGTTGTTCTTGGATACTATGGGTTGCGCCGGATCCTCGCGTTCCAAAGGAGATGGTACTCTTCTTGCTGAAACTATTGTCTCCACCAATTTTTAGTGATACCCATTTGGTTTTCTTGATGTATGCTGTGAGTTTCTTGCGTTTGGTTTGAAAGTTGATTGCTATCTTGCTATTCTTGGTCAAGTTTATTTGTTTAGCAGTTATCGGAGATTCTCAGCTGGTTATACTGATATACGGTGCGAGTCGTTCTGTATTTTCTAATTCTTTTGCGCTAAGAACATTGGTTAGCCGTGCTTTCTTTTTGGGTTTCTGGTACCCGCTTTTGGGAGCCGACTAACCCAGATTCGCACGAATGCTCAGAGGCTGAGCCATGATTTGTAGTTTATGGGTTCTGAGTTTGCCACAGAATCTACTAGTTACTGGGTTCCTAATTGAATATTTAAATATATTTAATAAATTTTCTAATACAAATACAATGTTTAAGTAAAAGTGACTGGGTTCAGCCGAACTCACACCTCATAGGCTTGTTCCACCTCAGGAAGTGCTCCCTACCAGAAGCAACTCCATTCCCAGGTCTCGAGACTCACGCCTCTAGTTAAGGACAGAGGGGTGCTTACCACCCACCGTAGCCATTGGTGGTAATTGCTTAGTTGTGAGTTTACTGTCTGTATAATTTTGCCTTTTACGGGGAAGTTTCTTCTGGAGAATGCTTAACTGTTTTCTTTGGTTATTTGACTATTTAAGTGGTGCTTAAGTAAGTGATTTGATAATAAATAATTAGTGATGAATTAGGTATTGGGCAGGTATTAGTACTATTTATGTAACTGTAGTATCCGTTTTGCTAGATAATGTAGCCGTTTGATATTAATGGGTTAGGTTGTAGTTGTGGGGATGATATGTGTTGCCTATTTGACTTAAGATATGAGTGTGACAATGAAGAATAGGTTGATAAACTATTGTGGTAAATCTGTCTCCAATTATTTGTGTTTTCCCTTACCACAGTTTGTCTTGTCATATGCATATCCCAATCCTGAAATTATATCTGAAGAAGATTTAAGTAGAAGAACAGCTAGGTGCAAAAGAATTTGAATAAATGTTGTGTGTTATTTGAGAGTCAAGAAATACCCTAAAAGCAATAAATTAGATAATTGGCAGAATACTTGACAAAGATGCAAAATCAAAATATAAAGGGACAGCACGGTGCACGAAGCATCCCGCATTAACGCAGAGTCCAGGGAAGGACCGCACCCCAAGAGGGTGTGATGTAGGCAACTTACCCTGATGCAAGCATCAGTGATTGATTCCACGGCTCAAATCCGTGACGTATAGGTCACATAGAGACAGCTTTACTGTTGCTTCAAGGCTCCCCTTCGCAGAAATCAAAATGTATCCACTGGAAATAGGTTTGCAGAGTGGTAGAGTATGTTCACCTGTTATGTCACTTAACTAGATGTATCGAGTGAGATTGAAAGGAGAATTTTATTATCTAACGAAGAATCATGTAATGCTAAGTGTACCATGTTAGGTTACTGTGAGCAATGCTTTATCTGGAGAAAATTTTACTCGATAAGACAGATATGTAATAAGAAGGACAAACCTAGAAATCGAGGAGCAGATGGGAAGGACTGAAATAGCACGGTAATAGTGGGGACAAAATATGACAGTCCATGTGTAATGAAGAATGTGTCCTTTAGCAAGTCAATGTTGATAAATTAAAGATTTTAGCCTGTAAAAGGGGAGATGGTAGAGCATATTGGAGCTTTTGTCAAAACCTGAAGTACTTTCATCATTTGGATTTTGTAAGGTTTGATTTTCAATTCCTAATTACCGAAATACATGCATTAGTTGGCTGTTTGATTTTTTTCCTCTGAAAGAGGTGTACTCAAATAGTCAAATCAATTAATTTGCTACACTGAATTTGGAAATGCACTAGGAAAACTTTTTTCCTCTATGAAACTTGGTATGGTACGAGTAGATCCTTTTCTCCAGTGGTATGGAAAGGTGGACTGCTGGCTGTTACCCATTTATTATAGCAAAGTTGAGTAAAAGAACATATGGTAAACAATTGCCCTTTGTTTGGATGATTTGAATTGTGTTTGCTTTGCAGTTCAACATATTTTTCCAGTCCACAACCCATTAAGTTTGTCTGCCAGTTTTGCTTCACTTCTTTATCAACCTACTATTAGTCTGGACTTTTGGTTTTGGTTGTATACTTGCAATTAAACTCTGTTTGTTTTCCTAGATAAGTTGTAGTTATTTCTATGCTGACTTCAGCTCTTTATTAGAAGCAATAGGTATTTCGAGTTGTCTCATGGTTTTCTATTTTTCTATGATCAATTTTCCATTCTTTCTCACGTATCTCTTAGGCTTTTGTTATGAGCTTGTGCTCTGCTGTTCTTTCCTATTCAAGGATCTGCAGTTTTCTATTAATTTTGAACTAATTTCCCCTTTATAAATGATACTTCTAGTCTCTGATTCTTTCCCCCTCATAAGAAAACATAGTTTCTTCTGTAGCTAGTGCCCTTTATCTCCTGCTAAGTTTGTGTTTACAGAATGTTATGTTGAAGTACTGATGATTATTTTGTTCTACTATTTTAATACATCCATTTAGCTTGTTCTTTATGTAACTGAATGGAGTATTGTTTGGCTCTTTAGAGTGGCATTCTAGGAGAGTTATATTCCTAAAAAGATGAAGTCTAAATAGTGTTAGATCACCTATTTTTAGTACTAGTAATGTTACTATCTACTTTTGAGAGCATCTGTTCTCAGAAATTTGTCGTTCTTTGCATTGTTGGCTAATTTAGTTTAAGGCATTGGAAGTTACTGATTATGAGCCCGTTTGGATTGGCTTAAAAAGTAGCTTTTCAACAGAAATAGCTTTTAAGCCAAAAAGCAGTAAGTTGGGATTGCCAGCTTATTGCTTTTGGCTTGTTTAAAGCAGTTTTTAACTTATTTTAAGTACTTTTTGACTTTGCCAAACACTGACAAAAGCTAAAAAGAGCTTAAAAGCTTATTTGACCAGCTTAAAAGCCAATCCAAACACCCTCTATGTCATGTAGTGTAGTAAGGAATCACCTTTTGAAAGGAAAAAGAGATACTCGAAAGCTTTATTTCGAATGTGAAGATTCCGTCTTTAAAGGAGTAGTGCATGATTAACAAATTATAGTCCAATTAAACAATCCAAAAATGTGGGACAGAAGTTCTGGTGCCAAATTATTGTTGATGATATAACTTATTTTGGTGGCTGCTAGAGTGAGCATAATGATTTGGATCCACCTTACAACCAATAAGGGGTTTCAATGAATTAAGAATTCTAGATACATGCCACTTGGGATATGTATGTGATGGGCGACTTTTGACCCTTCAGCTACTGCTACTATGTGGTGCCGCGCTCTAGACAATTGACTTTTACCCATTGCCATATCCTTTGGCCTTGTTACATCCAAAATAAGATCTATTTATTTTAGTGTCACCACCAAGGATACAAAAACAAAGAACCTTGTTTTTACCTTTTCTTCGAAGAATTCTCCTCCGAACAACCAGTTAGCTGCATCATCTGGCAAAGATGGTGTCTCCATTGATCACATCGGTTATAAACTAAGTAATGGGTAAGTGGCTATTGTTTCTTTCCTTGCTTTTATCAGTAAATTACCTTTGATCATCCAAACTACTTTAAGAGGCTGTAAGTTCCTCTATTATCATCCTGCTCCTTGTCTCAACATTTTGACCTAGAGAAGTTAGTGGTGACTTCATTCTTCATGAGATCCATTTCGAAAAACATGAAATTTTGTTTTCACAATTCATCCGAACTTGTATTGAGTTATAATCTGCTAATAAACATATGCATGTGGACCTAATTGCGTTAGCAAGAAATAGAATAACGCCCCAGTGCCTAAGTAGCCCAATGTGAAGCGGACAGGTTGTTGTTAAGAGGATCGTCCACATTTAAAGAAATAGAGAACAAAATGAATTAACTGGAATCTTATCTGATTATCTGTTCTAACAGCCTTTAAGTTCAGAGCAGTAAAGATGGTGTTGAAGATTTGCTTCAGTTACTGTTGCAAATTTTTAGCATAATAAGTTGCTTAGTTTTAGGATGAATCTACTTTTATGAATTTAAATTTCTGTTAGATTTTTTAGGTTTGTTGAATTCTTGTTAGAGCAGATTTTTCTGCATATTATGTTCTCAACTTGGCTATTTAAAGCCCTCTATATTTAATAAAAAAGTAAAGACATTTTCAATCAATACTTTAAATCTTTTTGCTGCCCCATTATTATAAAAAACCCAACAGATGGATGCTAAATTTCCAATAACCATGTGAAAAGTCTTTTAACTAAGATTTGTTCTTCGTTCTCCTGGTAGAGGTTTCAACTTTAAATCATTATGGTAATACTTGAATGCTGCTCGTATTAGATATGTGTTTCAGTTTAAAGTATTGTACTTTGCTGACATCTTATATTGCTCCTTCATTTGCAGAAACTGTTAAGAAGATACGAAAACCAAAACCATGGAAACACTCAGAACCAATAACAAGAGCTCAGCTTGTACAGATGCGTGATGAATTCTGGGACACTGCCCCGCACTATGGGGGTAGAAAGGGTACATTTCTTGATAATTTTTACTAGCTTCTGCAAGTTTCTGGAACCACTTTCAATAGAGCTAGATGCATGATCAAGTTAAACAGTACTGTTAGCCACTGTGTTTAGATTTGCTTAACCAGTTAGTGATAGGTGAATTCTTAACTCTAGAATACACATCATATGATGTGTGACAATCTATATGGGAGCTTGGGGCAGAATGGATTGACAGTATATGGTGTATCGGAACTGCTTAAGTAAAGATCCTTATTGATGATAAGTTGTTGTAAGTTTTACTTTAGGAGTGCTTTTATCATGCATTAAACTTTGATCATAATGATCTGGCTCCAGTAGTCAGTAACTTGGATCTCTCTTTTAGAAAAGAATGACTCTGAATGTATGAAAATCAAGCTGAGCATAATATTTTTTCTTTAATATGCATCCTACATATAATTTTAAGTGATGCGCTCTATTTCGGCTGTTTTCAGTTCTGAGAACGTAGTCATTGTGATAACTAAATTCCCAACATGCTCTTGGGTGATAACAACATTAATGATCCTTGAGAAGTTTTCTGCTAAATCATCTATAGTAACTCTCTATAAGTGAATTATGTAATCTTGTTAGCAGCAGGGGGTGCTATTAGTTTGTGATACTGCTAACTATTAAAAATGTGTTTCATCTCCAGATATGTGGTGCCTTGCATATTGTTAGAGAGAAGCTGCATCAGCTTCTTTCAAATAGTTCATCTAAAAGAAGGCAGATTAGCTAATGAAATAGTAAACTTAACTTATAATGAAATGATACTCTTGATTTTTCAAAATAAAAAAGAAAAGAAAGAGTAACTTTCTAAAATGTCAACTCTCAAGAGAAACCTTTTTGATTGCACCAAGGAAAGATGTCTAGTAAACCTCAATATTGATTTGTTTTCAGTTCATATTTGAGAGTGCGGCCCTTCCCCGGGCTGCCCTTTATTCAATGCATTGAACCTCATCTTTTCATGTCCCAAATTAACGGGACACCAAATATATGATTACGTTTTGTGGTGGTGATTGCTAAAATTTAGAGGTTGTATAAAGCTATTGAACGTATTAGCTGCTGTTGAGGTAGTATATTTGCTGTAGTTAGTGAATAGACCAAGTAGGAAGGTCCACTCTGCAAACAGTGTAGTATATGAAAGTCTTTTTCTTACAACATATTATACTCCATTTTCAGAGATATGGGATGCGCTACGAGCTGCTGCAGAGGCAGACGTAAGCCTTGCACAAGCGTTCGTGGACAGTGCTGGGATCATTGTGCAAGTACCTGATTTAACTATCTGCTATGATGAGAGAGGTTTGTAGTACACTTTGATGTAACACTTTCCAACTTCCGTTCCTGAGAATCTCGCACTTATGGTAATTATATTCCAATGCAGGTGCCAAGTATGAGTTGCCCAAATATGTTTTGAGCGAACCAACAAATTTGATTGGTGAAAACTGAAAAGGCGACATAGTCAAGTACCATGCTTCATTGAGACTGTAAATGGTGTAAATTGCTCTCACAAGTCATTTCTTTCAAAGATCCATTTCGTTTTATGCATTATGGTTCTATTCATGATATCAAGATTCCATCTTGCTACAGCAGCAACCATGTACCAGGGTATTTTTTTGGACATAATATCAAGCTGTAGAGACTTAGCATAATCACCAAATATAATTTCTATAAACTGGATCTTTTATCGGGCCAAAAGTGGATATCACAGGCTTCATTGCAATCTTGGGCTTTTCTAACAAAGCCCATCAATTAGACACTGGTTACCTACTTCGAACTATTATAATGATCACAATTAAATCTTTTTATTTTGTAAGATTTTAAGATAATTAATTATGGTGTTTATCAAAAAAAGAAACAGTGCACGATCATGCACACGTGTACGGACAAGCAAACTAGGAGTAACAAATGCACGTGGTAGACTGAACATTTAGATGCTTAACCTAAGCTTATACAGTTATACTTATTCGGTATTAGTAATGCATTAATTGCTCCTTTATAATGGTCTACTAGAAGATTTACTTTTATCGTGTTATTTTATTTTCCATATCTTTTCCTCTAACATGCTTATTACGACCACATTTGAAATATTCTGCAGGGAAAAAAAATTTACTTGGAAGATGGGAACCAACCCTGCGGGTTTAAATCCTATGCGGGGCGGGACGGGTTTAAATTTTACGGGTTCAGACAGAACCAACCCCGCACCGCTTGCCATTCCTATCTAAAGTATATCAGAAAATTTCCATTTGTGGCAAGAACTTGATTCCCTTTAGTCTATAGCCGTAAATCAAGTATATCCATTGTGTGAGTCCTTTACTATTTTCATACTATTCAAGTGTTCATGTATCCTAATTTCGTTTGGTGCTTGTAAATACTACGTAAAAGTTTAGATTTCACATCCTTTTTAGCAACAATTAGTTTAGCTATTAGTTTATCGTGAATTTGTGTTGGAGCTTAAACTAGAGTGAGATTCCCCTTTAACAAGAAAAAAATCTTCCCTAAATTTTGAGTAAAAAATTTGGTGCTTATACTTTTTAATAAGAAGAGCCAGTCCGATGTTATTTACTCATTTTCCAAACCCTCATTATTGTGCTGTGCCTATCCAAAAAGAAAATAATTATTTTGCTTAATCTACATTCCTAATCCTCCATAAACCTACATATATAGACAATGACACCCTAAGATGGGAAGTAGGAGACGGCGGCCGCAAAGGTGCATTTGAGTACTTTGTTTCAAAGCAAAAAACATGACAAATCACGCTGAATGCTTAGAAGAGTTTTACATTTACCCATAAAAGCAAAAAATATATTAGGCCACTTTGGTACATAAATCAAAGATATTGTCCCTTTGGAACTAGACATGTAAAATGATGTTCTCCACCTCTTACATAAAGGTCACCAGTGACTTGAGATATCATTAACAAAGGTCAACATCTTTAAGCAATTACTTATTGAAAAAAGTGCAAAAAAGAAAAATAAAGATGCTGTGCTTATTATGTGACAATTTCACCAAATCATATATCAAACATTTCGTTACTCTAATTCTAAACGTATTTCTGAAGAAAAAATAAAAGTAAACTTTATTGGGAATTACCATCTCAAATAGTATTCCCCCGAATTACCAAAACAATAAAAATAGTATTCCCCAAAAGTAATGGTGAAGTTGAAAAAATAACCCTCCAAATATTTGTTGTGGAGTTAATAAACAATACATTCTTTGGTTGAATTATGCTTTTTTACCACAGATTACGAGTAGTTTGGTCTTAATGAAATTATTTTATGATTATGGGATATAGTAGATATTTAATAGAAGGTGCGAGCAAGTGATTCGAATGCTATCGTTGTACGAAAATAAAAATAACTCCATCAAAGTACTTAGACCAAAAATGACATGGAAATGATAAACTTCTTACGCTAGCAATTGTAATTGGGAAGAAGCTATTCCCGATGATTTGCTCCCCACAAGTATATATCTTGTTAATATTTTGTAGGGCACCTTTCTCTACCAAAATATTGCCATGTAATGTGATGACAAATTTGCACATGTGCTCCACCTGTTTTCCCGATGGATCCTATGGAGTTTTCTACTTGATTTGTTCTTGGTTTTAAAGAGTAATTCTTGAACTTATATGGGAATTCTCGAAAACATTTTGCAGGCATAGCAAAGTCAGGGGCAGCCCTTCCATAAAGCAAGTAAATAGATTTGAACAATTCGAAGCATATGAAAATATTTTTAATTTTTATTTGGCGGTAAAAACTAAATAACTAGATGTTGAAAATTTGAAAAAAATATTGCTTTAATCTTGAATATTCCTTAAAGCATAATAATCAATTCGATATTGATGGTTTAGATTTTTATTTCTGAATTAAAAGTATTAAGGAAATAATACAATTAGAATATAGCAGTTTAATTGATACACTTAGTCAAATAAAAAGAATTAATTATTTTTCAAATGCCTAAATTGCTTATGGAGTAATGTTAATAACTCATGCTACCGTTGCTTCAGCGGAAAGAAGTTTTCAAAATTAAAATTGATAAAATCTTACCTAAGATCAACAATGTCACAAGAAAATTTAAATGGATTAGCTATATTGTCAATTGAGAAATACTTATTAAGAGTTCTTGATTATAAGAAAATTATTAATAACTTTGTATCTAAGAAAAGCTAAAAAAATAGACTGCAAATAAATAATAAATTTAAAAAAAGAAGAAATTAAGGCCCTTTATAAAGTTTGGCTTTAGGCCACAAAATTCGTCGAGCCGCCCCTAAGCAAAGTGTATTTAAGGGTTGAAATATATATATATATCACCTCGATAGCTAAGTGTATTCATTCACTATGAAAAGTTTCATTTTTTTGAATCCTCTTATTAAAATTCTTGGTTCCGCCGCCGCCTTCCACGGTGCAGACTAGAGGGGTTAATTAGCATGAGTAAGGCTATAGCTGGAGATAGATTAATTAATCACATAACTACATAAGTAGTGGTCATGCACTGCTTTTGGAGCCATCATTAATTATTAGTTGCACTGCTTTTGGAGCCATCATTAATTATTAGTTTAGTTAGTTTATGTTAGTAATACTAGCAATCAGAGTACTTAAGTGGAGATGCTCAAGATGGCTTGGTATCCTAGGAACTGAAAGATCAAATATTATTTTTGTAAGGGTCAGAATCAAATTACTAAATCTTGACTCCCTTGATTTAATAATTATAGTTATAAAGCGATGGGGGAGTGGGGACATTATATCATCTGCATGCGTGTGTGTGCATGGATTTGATTTCTTTTTCTTTTTTCTTTCTTTTTAGTTCAAATATATAAACAGTTAACGATAAGGTTGTCCATGATATATTGGATGGCAAACATTCAACAACGACGAACAAATTCTAGGAGGTACATTAGTCACAAGTAGAGCTGAGTTGATTTGTGTATTGTTCCTTTCCCGATAGATCTCGTGATTAAAGTTTTTAATCCTAATATTTGACATTAATTCACATTTTTAAGAGTGTGCATGTTATGCCACTATAGTGTCACGACCCGTAATTCCCATCATCGGGATTGTGATGATGCCTAACATTTCATTTGCTAGGCAAGCCAACGTTAGATGTAAATATTAATTATTTTTAACAAACTTCAAATACGATGACAATAAAAAAATTGAATAGTCTGAAACAAGATAAATAAGCTAATAAGTGACAAAATTCAAATACAACTCCGGATCTGGTGTTACGAACACGAGCGTGTATGATACTACAAATATTGGTCTGAAATAAACATAACTGTTTGAATCAAATGAACAACTAAAATAATAGAAGGGGACTTCAGAGTTGCGGAAGTCGTGCAGCTATACCTCAAGTCTCCTCTGGGTAGCTGGATCCGAGCAAGTCTACGGTACGCCGTTGGGACCAACTTCGGTATCTACACAAGAAGTGCAGAGTGTAGTATCAGTACAACCGATCACATGTACTCTGTAAGTGCCGAGCCTAACTTCGACGAAGTAGTGACGAAGCTAAGGCGGCTCACTTACATTAACATGTACGCAATAACAATAATAATAACAAAAAGATAGGAATAGAAGTAAAGCAGGTAACTCGTATCAACGAAACTCAAATCAACCAGTAAAGAGTCCCGAATAACCAGTCATATAACTCATCTCAACAACCGAGGCCAATTCAACTCACAACAAATATAACTTTCATCAACATGTTGCGGCGTGCAACCCGGTCCCACAATATAAACTTTAAACAAATCCATTGTGGCGCGTAACCCGACCCCTCCATATAATCGTCTATCAGTATCATAGTCCATCCTTATTCTGCCTTTTCAATTCATTTCTTTATAATTTCCGTTGCAGCGTGCAACCCGCTCCCCAAGCAATATCAATTAACAATAGTAACTCAATGACTAAGATTTACAAGAAATCATATATCAGGAGAACGAATGTACGAGCAACGGAGAATAACATGACAATCAAGAGGCTCGAACTACTCGGATATCTCAACTTTACCAACTCAACGGTATCTACTTTTCACAACACATACAAGTGAAACTACTTCAATCAAGGCAACAATTATACGAAACTATAAGGCAACAAGGCATAAGACAATTTAGATATATGAGGGAAACAAATCGAGACAAATAGTAAATAAGTATGGAATCAGGGAGGGGATGGTCATTTTAATACAAGAAATACTAAATGGCAAGTAGCAATTATGACGTGGAAGTCAAATAAGCTGTAGCAATTAAGGCACAAAGACAAGACATAATATCAAGCAATGAGGATGGGAAAAACAAGTAATGTAACGGTTAAGTCATGGAAACAAGTAATTAATGAAATACGGAAGAACATGGAAACAAGTGATTTGAAGGCGTATATACACTCGTCACCTCGCATACACGCCGCTACACATGTAATTCACACAACACATAGCTCAAGGGTTCCTAACTCCCTCAAATCAAGGTTAGACCCAATACTTACCTGCAATCAACTCAAAGTTCAACCACGGCCTTGCCTTTCGAAGCCTCCACACCAACCAAATCTAGCAATTTATTAACCAAACGATTCAAAATAAGCCTTAGAAACTACCCACAAATGAAAGAAGTTCAATTTAGATCATTATTGAAAAAGTCAACAAAAGTCAACCCCGGGCTCGCTTG